CATTTTTGTTTTCAGCTCGCTCCTTAGGCACACCTGAAAAGATCAAGCAGATTTAGGTACCCAACTCATATTGGGTCCTAGAGGGTTAGTGGTAACAAGTGCATTTAGAACTTACACTGATTTTTCTTTTTGTTGAAACTTCTTGCTATTCTCAAGTCAAACATCCTTAGAAAACAACATTTTTCTTATTAGAAACACGATCTCAGTTTAGAAAATGCTAAGAAATGCTATCATAGCTAGAACTTGTCTTCTCTTTAGAAAACGATTCTGAAATTGATTTTAGAATTCTAATCTCAATTTTCAAAGATTCATTTTCAAAATTCAGATTTTTACACTTTTCTTCAAGATGTGTCAGATTTTCAGAAAATCGATTATTACAATTTTTAAGATCTTTGATTTCTATAATAAGATCATTGCATGTAACTTCTTAATAAAAAGCGTCTTTTAAATGATTACTTTCAGATTTTAACTTTCTGAAATCTTTCTTTAGAAATTTATGCTTTCTAACAAGCTTTTCAAACTCATTGCAAAGATTATTGTAAGTATTTAAAAGATCATTTTCTGATTCAGGTTCAAAAATGCTACTCAAAAATCTTACAGTGCTATCTTCATGCTTCTGGACGCATTGCATTTTTTCGTTTTGCAATTTCAGCTATCTGTGTTGAAGTCAGAAGTCTCGATTTTTTGGGAGTCAGCAATCGATACGTAGCCATTAAACAGATATTTAGTAATCTCTTCTTATACACTCTCTGTGAGCTTCCAGAATTAAGAATCCTCTGCAAATCCCTCAAGCAGCTACACCAGGCCTGCTTCAGTTTCTCTTTCCCTTTGACTTCCTTTTTTTCAATTTAGCGACAATTTAGGCCTTGATATTCCACGGTTTGTTTGATTCCATACAAACCACTTCAGAAGGTTTCTTTTTAAGTAAGTTACTATTCTTTGGGTGGAAAGTTTCTTTTTGTAAACTTCTTTCCTGTGGGCTTCCGCTTTCTCTAATAGAACTTTTCAAACTCTTTTAGAACAAGTGTTAAATCATCCACTATACACAAGATCAGAATGAACTTATCTTCAATAGATCTACTCTTAAAGGCAGTCCTTCTTTTTCCTTATCTTCTATACGTCAAGCAAGATTTCATCTTCTTCTGAAACAGGGAGCTCCCTAACTAATGAATAATCATAGTGGAACGGAGTCCATGCAACAGTTCTATAGAATCCATTTTCTAGGTGATTTAAAGGATTCTTTTTCTTAACAAGCTCAAAATCTTCTTGAAATTCTCTTACCCGAGAGTTCTCAAAGGATTAACTATATTAGTAAATCTAGACATTTAGACTCTACAATAGTTCTCTCTTCTTTTCAATACTCAACATTTCATCATTCTCTCAAGATATTATTTGGATTCTTCTTTACTCTTTGTCCCGGCCAATAGTGCTTTAAGTTTTTCCCATACACCTCTGTCGCGATTTACATCGCAAACTTTGTTGGTCATTCTGTGCATCTAAAGCACAATTGAAGAATATCTAATGCTTTTTGCATTTATACAATGTTCATTACCAATCAGTATCTGTATATTTTCTTCTGTTTTTTTCTAACAATCTCATCTCCTACACTTTCATGGAATACGAGGACGCAATGATAAATTTCCCCAGCAGTTTATATCACTGACTTAATGAATTCTCCATTCTAGTTTCCAATAGAGTAATTAGAACCTTAGAAAAAAGAGGTCTAGAAACAGATTGTCCTCTAAAAGAAGTAAGAGGAAGTGCGGATTGCCCATGGGATCTTATTCTTAAGCGGTTAAGCTTCGGATAAGTGCAAGAGCCAAGGCTCTGATACAGATTGTGGGTCCGTATATGTAGGCACAACCCAAGAGGGGGGGTGAATGGGTATTTTCGCAAAAACATATATACATTTTAGAATTTTAAAACACAAATATGAATTCTACAGTGCAGGCGGAAAACCAAAGCCAACTCTGTTGAGAATAGAATCACTGGATTAAACTTCCTCACATGTTCTATTATATTTATAAAGAATAGAAAGACTATGCAAAGTGCAGCTATTAATTAGAACTGCTTCACATTGTCTTATTCAATATTAGAACTTCTTTATGATAGAAAGCTATTGTATTTAGAACTTCCTCATAAAGTTTAGAAAAACATATAAGACTGCGTAAGAGACAGTTATTGAAATTAGAACTGTTTCACAGAGCCTTAACCAGGATTAGAAAACAGATTAGAAACCCAAGTAGTGAAATATACTATAAATATAATAACTGTTTATAACTTGGTATATTCACTTATCAGAATTCCAGAGTTCTAATATTCAGAGAAGATAAGACTTATTCCAGTTTTAGAACATCAAAACATTTACAACTTTAGACAACTTTAGCATTTCTAAAATATGAACAAAAGTGTAAGTAAAAGCAGTACTCCAAGCAAAACTTTAGGAATTAGAAAAGATCAACACAGTGATTTAATAGTGGTTCGGCACTAACTCGTACAATCCCTCCAAGCTCCTTCTTGAGATCCTCACTAAATGTTAATCTCTTTTCAAGGGTAAGAAGACAAACAACAGTACAAGGCAATAGATCAACACTCGATCTACCTTTATCCCACTCTAGATTTTCAAAGGTTCTAGCTTAACCTCAACCCTCTTCTATTCTTTTAGCAGAGTTAACAAAAATCAACTTCAAGAACATAGAATCTCACTAAGGAGAACGTCGGCTTTGAAACCTCTTTCACAACTGCCTTCTCAACCTAAGCTTTACAACAAATGCTTCTATCAAATAAAAACCTGTCTACCTATAAGATTACACAAAAAATCTAAACTAGCACAGAAAGAAAATGCACATATAAGCATAAGAAAACAGTTTATCAGATTAGAAAAATGTCTTTAGAACACAAAACGTTTTTTCAACACAGTAGTTACAAAATTCTTTTCTCTTTAAAGATAAAACGTGAAAGTGTAAAGAGATGAAAAGAAAAATGGGGGTAGAGAGTAAGTTTTGAGAGATAAAAGATATGATCAATAAGTGAATACTCTTAAAACGAAAATTCTTTCTTCCTCATAGTTCAAAACGTGGAAGCTCCTTTTTATAGAGAGATATGTAGTTCTTGCTTTTGGAAAGGGAATATTTCATTTTGAAATCAGAATATTTTCTTTCTTTATTTAGAAGATACGAAAATCTTGGTTATCAAAATTTTATCTTATCCTTTTGGTAAGAGAATAAAATACGATTTTACTTTCCTTTAAGCAAAAAGATTTTCGAAAGCACTTTTATTTGGAAAATATTTTTCTTCAAATAAAGACTACTACTTACTAAAAACAAAAAGATACATCACTTCGTTCCTTCGTTTTAGGTAAGAGTATAAGTTGAAATTCTTTAGATCTTCAAAAGATATTTCCGAAAGGGAAAGTGTATGATTTATTACCAAAATCATTTAGAGAGAAAATCTCTTTAGTTTTAGGTAATTAAATCATTTCGATTCTCAAAGCATATTTTCGAAAACAGAATCTTTTACGATAGAAATTATTTTGAAGAAACTAATTTCCAAAAAATATTTTGAATGAGAGAAAAATTAGTTTATGTGCTTATAGATGAATTTTCTCTCTATCCTACAAAGTATCCTAACCACTAGGTTCTTCGAATTATCTTCACACAAACTTCACACACTATCCGGATTTTTGTAGGACTTGGCTTTGTTACAGATCTTCTTTGCTAGAAATTCTGCACTAATAATCACTTAGCACAAATAATATAATTTAAATTTATTGTTTCTGTTTTAATCATCAAAATCCTAGCTTAGAAATTGACCTTACCCCCACTATCCACCTGAGTTTTATTAGTCAGCGAGCTTTACTCTGTTTAACTCATAGGTCTTTGGGACTTGACCGTATGCGATTATCTTACACTGCTGCAAGTTTCATATTTGGAGACCCAGTTTTTAGGGTATTGCTACTCATTTGATATTTTGATTCCTGTTTATCCCTTTATCATGGCATGTTACACGGCACACAGTTGGGCCCATTCTCATTTTGATTTAGGGTAGCTACTCATTTTGATATTTTGATTCTGTTTATCCTTATCATGGCATGTACAGGGCACACAGTTGGGCCCATTTCATTTTGAAAACTAGTATATGTCTTGTAGATATTGAGTACATTACTAATGTAAACAACATCAGCATGATATACTATTCAACATACATTATGATATCAGCATAACAGTACATAGAGTCAACCAGTTTGTAGCGTCTCGGTTCGGTTCATTCGGGTTAACGGGTGAACTGGGAAGGGATATTACATACAATGTTTGACGACCACTGACTGTACCTAGTAGGACGGACGAATCCTGCCTTGAGGAGCTTTTCTATCTCTTCCTTAACTTTCAAGATTACTTCTTCTGACATTCTCCTTGGTGGTTGATGCTGCTGCTTAAAGTCAGGTTTGATAGGTAACTATGCTCCACCAAACTTCTCTTTAAGCCAGGCATCTCATGATAGCTCCAAGCAAAGCAATCTTTATACTTGTGAAGCAAAGTTATGATCTTCTGCTGTGATTGGGAAATGGGAATTGGAAATAGTGGGTAAAAATCTATGATTTTTATTTATTTAAGTAAAAAAAAAAATTAAAGTTTTATATTTGTGTTTTACTGGGAAATTATTGAGATAAAAGGAAATTGGAAGAGATACAGGAGATATTCAAAGGACTTAGTAGCTCATTAAGGGTACCGTAGCAATTTAGAAAGTCTTTTCTCGTCTCTAACAGTCCTTTCTTTAAGAGTTAATGGGAAAAACCTCACAAATTGGATGAATGAACTACTTAAATTGATGGATGCAATTGCCAGGGAAGTTCTGAATATTTGTTTAGAATTTGGAGATTATTTAAATAATTTCATCAAACCTTGGGATTGCAAAAAAAAAAAAAAAGAGGAAACGCAACGGCAAAACATCTTAATCTCACCCGTCCATATTAGGTTTTTATTTTAACCGTCAGATCATGAAAACCCTTGTTTCAGGTTAGGTTTTTCTACTTCAGCAGCCCACCTGACCCAAAACAGTCGAGCGGAGAAAGACAAATTGGAAGAAAGAAATTCCGACCGAGCATTTCCTACAGTTGCCGAGTTCCGGTCAACAACTGCAAACCACAGCATCCGCTGAAGCAGGAGCAGCGTGCTAACACCACCACCGACATAGCCTTTAAACAAGCTCTGTCGGGGTAAGTTCTTGCATTTGTAAATGACGTTCCTTCATTAAGATTTAGATATTAAAATTATAAATGCATTTGGATGTTGGTTGAGAAATCAGTGGAAATGTCGCTAATATATGATTATATGTTCATGGTTTTGTTGATGAAAAATTACCAATCATAATGAGGATTGTAGTTGTTCTTAATATAAGCTATTTGGTTTTAAAGGTTCGTATTTTATTAGCTTGTTAGATAGCTAACTCCCGTTTTCGCTGGTGAGTCACTTATATCTTTTGAATTGATTTTTCATGAACCATAGGTTGAATTGATCTATATATGTACTGATATCAAATTGTAATGCTTTTCTTTTTAAGGCTTGTGCAATGAGAATTTGATGTTTGTATAATCTTAAGCTCGATAAGGACAATAACTGAGATGTGAACTTAGTGGTTGTACACTATCTGCTTATTTAGCTTGCAAAATGTGTGTTTGTTCTTCCATATGTGCTTGTATGTTTTAATTGGAGGAAGAGATAAGGCTGGGGTTGTGCATTTGAGATTGTTGAGATGTATATTGTCCATTTTGGGTTGATTATATATAACATTGGGAAGTGTCAATGGAATGTTTAAACCTTTCCAAATTTCTGTGAGAACTTTAATTCAAGTGGTGAATAGTGATTATTACATCTTTTTGAAGTCATTTTTTAGTCTAAATTCTGCCAAATTTTTTATAGAACTGTTTCATTTCTCTCATCAAGTAGAGAAGTGGGCATGCGAATCTCTAATTTCGTAGTATTTGGGATAATAAAAGCCATTAGTCAGCTTACGTAAAATTGGGACTATTTTGTTTCAAAATTTAAAATTATTTAAAACTTCAAAAATATCTTTCTTAAGTTCGTTGGGGATCCTTCTGACATAATTAATTGTTCTTAAATATCTAAAAATTGTTTCATTTAAATCCTTTAAAAATTCTCAAGCATATAAGTTCAAGTTTCTTTGAATGCTCTTGATTAACCCAAGTTGTTTCCTAGCTGTTATGAGACTAACCGAAACAAAACTTTTTTTTTCTTTCTTTATTTTCGAAAAAAGAAACTTGGTTTAATTAGGCATGGACAAGAACATTCTACAAGGACTTGAAGGAATACCTGAAGAGGACAAGATGCGTATGGCCGCAACAATTGATCAACTACAAGTGCGAGATAGGTTTGCAATCTTCCTTTAATTGCCTTATTTTCTTTTTCTTTTTCTTTTTTTTCCTTTTTTCTCCCATTTCATTTATTATCTTTTTCTATCCTGTAGTTAAATTTTCTCTTGATAGAATTTATGGGTTGATCAATTTTTGTTATTTGCTATATTCTGGGTAAGTGCCAAAATAAAATATTCATTTGAGTTTACTTCTAAATCTATCAATAGAATTGGTTTTAACAGCTTTTCCCCATTTTAGTGTTAAAAAATAAAAAAATTTTCCATTTTATCATTTTAGCAAAATAATTCTCAGAAGCTGGTGAAGTGTACCATGGTGGCAGTCAACACAATCAACTTAAAATCTAAATTGATTAAGCCCTGTGTGTGTGTGTATATGTGTGTGTGTCTGTGTATATATATATTGTCTCATTACATAGGAGTACTAGTTGAGTAGCTTTTTTGCATTTTCTACACTGGTCTCTTATTTTGGCAAGTTCAGTGGCGCACCTTTACTAAACAATTGGATAGGGGTGGGCCTACATCCAAGGTAGATAAATAATTTACTAATACAAATATATGCCAATATTTAAAAAAAAAAAAAATGGTACTACATCCAGCCCTACAAGATTAGACTAGTCGATAAGGGTGGAGCTTTCCTGCTTTATCAAATAGGATTTGATTCCCTTAGGGAACATCAAGGAATATTAGAAATAGTATTTCTTAATGTATTTGGCTGACATAGGGGGCAGCCTTAAATTGCCCAGCGTTAACTGGTCCGAGAATATTTTCGACTGTAAATGCCGAAAGAAAAAAAATCTATACTTATCGTTTCTTTTTGCTACACATTATGAAAGTTAATAATAAAAATTAATTTATCCCTATGTTTTTTTATTTTTTTCTCATGGTTTCAATTTATCTTCTATAATATCTTTTTTACAATAGTACATTTATATATAAAGCAATGCAAGTTATAAAACATTAAAACAATGATCAAACTATTAATTTGTGGTAAATAGAAAAAAATAAACAACGATAAAACACGACAAAATAAACAGTTTCACTAGTTGACACTACAAGTGTCATTTTTGTTTTTAATAAATATGCTTTTTTTTTTATTAATTTCTGAGAGAGCACTTGATGGTGTTGATTGCCACCATGAAAATTTCACCACCTTGGAATTATTTTAACAAAAACAATAAGTGGATAACTTTTTATTTTTTACCCTGAAATGAGGAAAAGCCTGGTTTTTTAGAGGATTATAAATGGTTTAACGTATGGAATCCTTAGGTAATCTGAAGGTGGTGAAGAAATTCCAAGTATGATTGCAGGCAAATTTTCCCCATTTCTTTTTCTGCCTATTGTTGCCTTTCATGGGCTGCTTTCGCGGTGTAAATGTGTATCTTTTTTTTCACTCTCACATATGGCTTCACGTCCGATTTTTGTGCAAGTTAGGTTGCAACTTTGGTTTGTAACCATGTTAAGTGAAGCTAAAACAATGTTCTCCTTGAAACCAATGCAACCATTTATGCATATATGTTGCATTTGGACGTTTTGGGAACGATAATTATGTTAATTTTTCTGATACATGTAAGAATATCCATAATTGAATAAAAAGTTGTCTATCTGATCAGGAGTAGCTTGCTGATGATATGTGCATTTTTTTTTTTTTTGAGACATTTCAGTGTGCAAAGTTTGATTACAATGGAAATGTTGAGCTCTTTAAGGAACTTAATGGTTTTCTATTGGTTGTTTCTCTCTTTGCTGTTGTTATGTTAGTGTGATTGCTATTTTTAGTTTATCCAGCGTTACACTCTTTTGTGAGTTGTAAGAAAAGTATTTGTTTTTAGAGGTTTAAAGCCTGTTTACAATTGTGGTTAAATTGCTTTTCCAAAAAATAATCATTTTGGATATTAAGGAAAAGCAATTTTGAAGTTTTGCCTTTGTAGCTTTCATGACTAGCATATATGAAATTCAACTTCAAAAACTTTAATGACCTCTAATTAATATTTTCAACAATGATTTTTTTTCCCTCAATAGTAACTCAAATAGCAATGAAACACACCCTTAGGCTTTGATCAGCCATTGGCTTTTCATTTTCTGTTCATATATGGCTTCACATCTAGGCCTTGTATGTTACAGGTCATGTGATAGTTCTGTGTAGGTGACCTAGTTTATGTGAAGCCAGAAGAATGTTCTCCTTAAAATCAATGCAGCTTGTGTGTTGCAGTTGAACGTTTTGGGAACAACATCTAATTCTCATTAGTCATTGCTCTTCGGTTGACCTCCTATTCATTCAGTCAAATGATAGTGTAAATGACGCACAAATTCTTTCTTCCCTTCTACAGATTCATAATGGTTGGGACGAGTATTCCATCAATTTTGTTAGAATTTTACAAAACTGAGGTGAATTTATTTTTCTAGGAGAGAAACCGAACTGCTGAACCAAAATAATCATAAAAATATTAAAACCAATGTGAAAATACTGGGTAAAAAATTCAAAATGCAAATTTCAAATTTTTATGTATAATGTATACAAAAATATTATATATATATACACACACACACACACACACACACACACACACACATATAGGCTTCAGTTTTATTTTTATCACCAAAACTGAATCAAACCAAAATTTACCAAAATCTAAAACCAAAGCACACTGAGCCAAACTTGGAAGACCAAACCAAGAAACCAAAAAGCATCAGTTTGGTTGGTTTCTTTAGTTTTTAGCTGGATAGTGCTTACCCTCTAATAATGAGTGCTCTGCCAGTTTACAGGAAAAGTTGCTCATGATTTTACCTCCTGAAAATTGTTAGCAATATAGAGCTATTTTTCCGCTTTATGGCCAAATACATGTTCCCACTAAATAATTTTTGCAATGTCATTGGTTTAAACATGGAGTTTATGAAGTGCATGCTGTTTCTCACTTGATTCCCCATATTTGAAGAAATCACAGAATTTTATAATGAAGCTTATATATATGGCTTCGAAATTTTTTTAATTTATGGCCTTTTTAATTTGTATCTGCAGTATGAGAATGTATAATTCAGTTGTAGAGAGATGCTTCAATGATTGTGTCGATAGCTTTACACGCAAATCACTTCAGAAGCAGGAAGAGACTTGTGTTATAAGATGTGCCGAGAAGTTCTTGAAGCATTCAATGCGCGTCGGCCTGAGGTTTGGTGAGCTTAATAATATGCAGGCTACACCGGACCAAAGTAGCTAAAGGACCAGCAGATTGGCTAAAAATTTGTTTGCCAATGTAGAAATCTTATTTGGATAAATAGGGGATGCTTTGCTATTTATCATTTTCAACTGATTCTCCCAAGAGTTTTGATAATTTTTGCTTAAATGTCTATCTTTTATTATAAACTTAAAGAATATTAGTGGCCCCCTTATGAATGATAATAAAACATTCTGATTGTTTTGAAATGCAATATTTTTGTTCTAGAATATGAAGGATGAGTGAATTGGAAAAAAAGTTAATAAAAACTATTTATATTTATAATCTATAGTTTATTATCTCTTTTTATATAGAGAAATTAGAATTTGCATTAGGATTAAGAAAACAGTTTAACTGAAGGATTCAGAAGTTAGTTTAATTGATTTTTTCCCTAATTTGCCCTTAAACTATTATTAGCTCTTCAAGTTTTAATGTAAGCCAACTTATGGATGAGAGATAACAAAATCTTCAATTAATGTTGTATTTTGAAGGGCCAAAGTGGAGAGAATTTTGTATGCAGGAAAATAATTATTAATCCAATGAAAATTTCGAATTTGTTTTGCCAATACGAAAGTTTTGAAAATTTTGAACAAATTACTTTTATTGAGAATAGACAATTAAAAGATATATATATATATATATATAATAAGTTTTGAAAACAATTTTGAACAAATTACTTTTATTGAGAATAGACAATTAAAAGATATATATATATATATATATATATATATATATATTTTAAAAGACTAACAGACTCCTTACACATATATTTTAAAAGAATAAACAGACTCCTTAACTTTTTCAAAACGCTCTCATATAAATATATGAGAGCTCACAACGTCATCATTATCTCGTCATGAATCCACCATTGCGCTTTGACCTCAATAGAGCCGTCTAAATTCAACCACAACTGAAGAAGATGCGCATATATAACATATTATTAGATCTGAACTCTATCCACTGAGGAACAACTTGTTCGTATGGGTTTTGACATACAGAACCCTTGAGTAGTGTTCCAGAAATAATAAGAAAAGGTAACAAAAGAAAAAACATTTCTGAAAATATTAAAAATTCAGTTCGTATGATGTCATCTGAGATGACATTGAAAAAGTGGTAGATACTTTTCCATATTTGCAAAGTCAGTCTACAAAATTTAGCAAAACGCAAAGGTCGAGATAGGAAAGAAAATGAAATAAAATGTCCTTGACATAAAAGGTAAGAAACGAGTTGAAATACCTCCAGATAGGATAAAGAGGCGTAGAAGCACGAATTGATTAAAAAAAGGAATATCAAAGCATATTCTAATGCAAACAAGTTACTTCCATGAATAAGAAGTGCAAAATTGAATTTTGTCTATCGCTCGGCAATGCAGGTATAGTGAGCAGCAAACTATCATTCCTTAACATGCACGACGTAATTCGCATAGACGAAAAATGGTTCTATTTGTGTGACAAAACACAAAAGTTTTATCTTTCCACAAATGAGGAGGAACCTTTGTGCAAATGCAATTGCAAGTGATTTATTTTAAAGATAATGTTTCATGTTGATGTTGCTCGCCCTAGGTTTGATTCGAATGCACAAATTTTTTTTGATGGTAAGATTGGCATTTGGCCTTTTGTTTACACTGCACTTGCCCAAAGGAATAATAAAAATCATTCAGCAAGTATATTGGAAATAAAGCAAATAATTTCAATAACAAAGGATGTTATTCGACACATTCTAATCGAAAACATGTTGCTTGCAAATCAGAGAAAAATGGCCTTAAGTAGGTACAGACACCATTTTAATACCACAAGACAATGCTAAGCCACATATGTGGGTGATGTTGATTTTGCACAGGTTGCATGCAATTAGACGTGGACATAAATTTACTATGCCAACCTCCCAATAGTCCTGATTTAAATATTTTGGAGCTTGTTTTTTTAGAGCAAAAGATTCAATCAAACACAAAGAAGCTCCATATACAATTAACCAACTAGTTAAAGCTGTTATAAAAGCTTATGATGTTTTCAATCTAATTGAAATCAACAAAGCTTTTTTGACATTACAAGCATATATGGTTGAGATCCTTATAGGTATCAAGCAGGCAACAGTTATAGATTGAAACACGTGTCCAAGAACAGCTTAATCAAAAATGGGCAGTTGCCTAATATTATTAAGGTCTGACTTTGAAATTGTAAAGAAGTAGTGGTGGTAGTGTGTTATCCACTTTTGAATATGTTCATGGTCTGAAAAAGTGTCCCTGTTTCATATATATTTGCACTTATCTGATTACATTTTATGCAGTCAGAAAATGTAGCCAAATATCATGTATCTCCGTATTTATTAATATATAAATAATGCATTTTAAAACATCAACACTTCAAGTTTCTTGTTCACATCAACCCAAAGGACGATACAATAAGCAGTCATTTCTCAAAATCAAGTATTCACTTTATATGATTAAATACATTTACTTTCAATAGCAAAACTGCTTAAATAAGTAACAAAATTTGCATTCATATTTTAAGAATGAGCAACTGAACATACTAAAAACTAGAACACCAAACTTTGAATATCATGCTTTATTCTGACATTAACATTAAAAACTGGACACAAACATTGAAAACCTCACACAACTAAAAGCCACATCGTAAAACTGGACACGAACACTTGAAACAGGCAAACTGATATTAAAACCAACTACTTCTCTGTATAAGATAAAGCACGAGTCTTTACTTTTCTTCTGCAAAAATACCATCTACTGTTTCGTTCATGATTTGACTTGTATCCACAGAGTCCTTAAAATAATTGACAATCATTGGATCATTGTTTGGAGGTTGTGTGGCATCATCATTATGAGCATCTTCATTTTGTGTTTTTTTTTTTATTCACCCTCCTTTTCTTGATCTTTTCTCTGCACCCTGATTTCCTTCTCCTGCTTTGACTTCACCTTGCTTTTTCAAGACCTACTCACTACTTTTATTTACTTGTACAACTTTTGGAGTATAAAAAATTTCAATCATATGTACACTTGATTGTAGACAATTCATCATTTTAGTAGTGGTTACTCTCATTTGTCCAATATGTGAAGTATTTTCATCAATCTTAATTTTTTCGATTTTTTAAGAACATTTGCATTAAAATCTATGTGCATAGGCTGCCTTGATGATCTTCTGGAAGGGTTTATGACATGCTTGACTGTCCTATTCTCATCCCTGATTCCTCATTCTATCACATCATTTTCTTAGAAATATTTCAACAATACCCACCCCTTATTTTTGGCCATAACTATGTCACATGAATTTAAGCATCTGACATTTATTTTCTCTATTGCTTTGATGTTGTCTTTATACTCCCCGCTCACATCAATCGAAGATTCAACTATGCATTTGGAAATAAACCTTGCATATGGTAAATGAAAGCAATTTTTTCTAACCTTGTACCTTTATGTACTCATAATTTTGTGGTTTTTCGTAATATTTTTCAGAATGATAGATGCTAAATTTATTTGTCTGTGGTGCATCAAATGCTACAAAATTATAGTCTCATCATTAGTGACATTATCTTTGCTTCCATATTTAGGCAATATATTCGCATAAAAAATCAAATGCAGAAGTCTAGGAATTGCTTTCATCCTCGTGCCAACTAGTTCTCCATCTGCATAATCCTCAGCTAGTTCATCTTTTTCAAAAGCTTTAACATTCAAGTCTTCAGGTATTGCGTACTCTTTTAAAATAGAATCAAAACCAAATGTTGGTACCCTAGCTACTTTACTGAGCACAAATTCATTAATCTCAACCTTCATACCTTTCACTAACAAGATAAAGCTTTTCTCTATTGCTTTCTATTTTCTTTTCCATACATATTTACATAAAAAAGGCTTAATCAGTATAGGGCAAATATCATATTCCATTGCTAGTACTTCATCTTACGGTCAAAATATTTTTCTAAGTCTAAGCCCACATTCTTAAGTTCATCAAACTCAACTTTTTTCTCAATCAACAATTTTTCATGCATCACTACTTGGTTGTAACAATCTTTATTAGAAGGGTCCATGAACTCATACTTGTTAATAAATTCACCACTACTTTCTTTGCTTCAAGGTTTAGATTCTAATTGCTCTTCTTCTTATTCTTTTGATGTTTTGAATTCTTCTTTAATTTGTTTGCGCTTCTTATGTAGGAGATTTTTGGAAAGTGGCACTAATTTTCATTTAGGGACTGATTTCTTTTTAGTAAGGGTTTCTGTACTTCTTTATGGGGAATGAAGGAATTATGAGGGCTGCTTCTTCGATATAGGATTTTCTTTATGGATTTCATTTTGGTAATGTGTTCCTCTACTCTTTTCTTGCCAAAAATGAATTTGGAGGATGAGACATGTTTCTCTTTTGCCATTTTTTTTTTGGTTGGATGAATGGCTGGGTTCTTCATCCTAAGGCTTATGAACTCATACCTGTTAATAAATTCACCAATAACTTTCCTTTGCTTCCTGGTTGAGATTCTAAGTGCTCTTCTTCTTCTTCTTCTGATTGCTCTTCTTCTACTTTTTCTGATGTTTCAGACTCTTCTTTAATTTTTTTGTGCTTATTATGTGGGGGATTTTTGAAAACTGACACTGATTTCTGTTTGGGGAATGATTTCTTTTCAACAAAGATTTGTGAAGTTCTCTGTGGGGGAATGAAGGACTTGTGAATGCCGCTTCTTTGATTTGGGGTTTTTTTTTTTATTGATTATGTATTCCGTACTCTGTTCTTGCTAGAAATCGATTTGGAGGATGATGCATCTTTCTCTTTCGTCGTTTTTCTTTTGGTAGCATGATTGGCTGGATTCTTCGTTCTAAGGCTCATTTATGTTTATAGACCGGCATCAATAAAGGAAAATGATTTGATGATTGTAGAAGGGAGCAGAAGGCGTGGATGTACGAGGGGATGGGTTTGGGGGTTACTATTTCCTTTTCATCAACCCCTTTATCTAAAACCAAGGGAAGATAAATGGGCAAAAAAAAAAAAAATTTCAGGTTAAGCGTTGTCGTTTGGATAGAATCTTTATTTGCTCCTCTAATTCTTCCACTCATGTGAATATTTTACTAAACATGCCATTTATATGTTCAAATGACTCTGGCAGTTGTTACATTTCTAACATTGAGTGCATGTGTGTTAAAAAAGGTGTAATTTCAACTGTAATTAATTTTCATTTAATGATTTATTCAATTTTTATTTACTTATCTTATTACCATGTTAGTTTATTTAATTTTATTTACATCAAAAATAAAAAAGAGAAGAAAGAAAGTTATAATGTTTCAAACACAGAAGCTCGATATTGAAGTTCTAAAGCCCATTAACACGTGGTGAGTACAACCTATAAAGTCTCTTAATATTAAAATCTTCATAATTGCTCTTCTCTTTAAAAAGCAAAACTCTAGCCGCTCCTGAATTTTTTAGATAAAAAAACTTTTTTTTTTCTTCCAACAAAAAAAAAGGTCAATAAAAATAATTCTTTTCTCTGTCTTCTACACATTCAATGGCTTGCCTTTGTAGATTAATGGGGTTCGATATGTTCTCATTTGTAAAAAAGATAATAGGATTTGTATATTGTTAAGAGATGCTACGATATGTTCTCATCTACCTTTCCTTGCTCTTGGCTTTTTCTTCTTCTTTATTCGTCTTGTTCTTTGTGATTTAGATTTGTAAATTTTTTTTGCTCATTCAGACTTTAACTTTTGTGTTTAAGAGATGAATTTATAAAACCACATGGTTTATCAAAATAAAAAGGAGCAATGTCATTTCGTCATCTACAGATTAGCGACCGACAAGTTCGATAGCAATCACTATTATGGAATTTTATCGCAAAATGGTTGCCGCTCGGTCACTAAATTTTTATTTATTATAGAAAAAGATGACTGATAGTAATAGATTGGTCGTAGATTTACCAACTAGAGTCGGTCATAGATTTTACTCGCTATTTCGCGTTTTCTTTATATTGTAATATATGATTGAAGGAGTTTATAAGCTTTGATGAGAAATGAAAGACTATATATATATGCCAACGGTAGATCATGCTTTATGGATAACAAATTAGATGTGGTCGCTATCAGATTTCATTTAGTAAGAAATCAAAAGGCTATGTATTAATTACTGCAACTCTTGGATTATATATGAAGGAGAGGAGATTGGATGAGAGTTTAGTTTAATAAGGAGTTCTGATTGAAAAAAATACTAAAAGAGGTGAGAAGAGAGAGAAAACGCCACGCGAGGATGAAAGAACAAACTAATAGTATCCTTGAACGAAACATGTATAGAAGGCAAGTACTTTAGTTTTTTATTCAAATCTAACGTTAAAAGTGAATAATATTAATGAAAGGACCAATGTAAATGATGTAATCAAAAAGCAGAGATAAAGTAATTACTTTTGATAAAATACTGAAAATATAATTTTCTCTAATTTCAATGTACTTTATATATTCCTTAATAAGACTTCATATACTCACTAATATGCTCGACTCCATATCTACTGTGGAAATTCATAAATTTACTCCAACTCAAATTTTACAAAGGACCTATTATACTCGTAAAGTTGCGAATTTGATAACATAGTACCTCTCTTCATACTAGCAATAATTTTTTTTATATATTTAGCAGTTATATGTAAAATATTCACTTGATATTTAGTTAGTATAATTTTTGAAATAATAATATTTATATTTTTCAGCTATTCAGTAAATATTTAATTAATTTATTTTTATAAATTTTAGCATTCAATAGAATATTTTTTGTATAAATTAAAATATTTAATAAGTATAATGTGATAAATTGAAATGTTTAACCGGTAAAAATAAAAATAAAGTATTATAAGGTTTTTACACGAAATAGATGGGTAAATTTGTGAAATGCGCCTATCTACCATTGTACAGCTACAGCATGACGATGAATTTTTCAAAAAGGTGAACGGCCTCGAAAGGCGGAGGAGTGGATTAGAATAGAAAATAAACATTAGAGAATTTCTAGATTATCTTATATAGATTAAAAACAATATTTTTGTTTTTTTTTTTTTTTTTTTTTTTTTTTTTTTTTTTTTTTTTTTTTTGACCCTTATCGAAAAACTAAAAATAGATCAAACCTTTATTTTAAGTATCTGAAAAAAAAGGGCTTAAATATAAGGAATTTTTTTTTTTAGAGAAAAAAAAAAAAAGAAAACGGAAAAAGGTACCTGTAATGTAAATAGAGAGAGAGAGAGAGAGAGAGAGAGAGAGAGAGAGAAAGCTGCCTTTGCCACTTCCCTTTACTGCTTCCAGACCATCACCAAGTGCTGTACTAGCAACGAGCACTGCACGGCTGGGACCGAAACCAGTGTCTGCTCTCTTGAGAATCTAACCCATTATCAACTATCAACTGTTCTCTCTCAGTTTAGCTTGTTTTGGGAGAGATGAGAAGATCTCATCTCTATTTTGTTTCTGTGCTAACACTTTTTGTTGCTTGTTCTTGTCAATTTCAAGCTCATGCTTCCCCTGCAGGTCCTTCTCTCTTTTTCTCTCTATTGATTCTTTTGATCTGTTTAGTTAATGGTATGCTTTATTTTTACTCACATTTGCTAATCTTTTCCCTTTGTGTTTTTCTGCGTTGCCACTTACTTTTAGCTGAATTCCCAATTCCAGAATAACCCTTTTTTTTCCCTCTTGATTACTTATGAAATTGTGTTCAAATTTTTTATATGATATAGTTGCTTAATGGGTATATTTTCCTCTCTCTTTATCTGTTCTTTTTTTTTTTTTTTTTTTTTTTTAAATTTTTGGTACTCAGGGCCATTAATTAAACACTTATCTTCTCTTCTCAAATGGACTGCAAGATCATCCTCCAAAACACCCCAATCAGGTAATTTTTTGTTTCTTTAGAAAAAAGGAAATTATGTTTTGCTAGTTAATGATGAAGGTGCTAATAATTTATCATCTGGTTTATTGTTCTAAAAGCAGATGGGAATGTTCTTCAATTTGAAGATGGATACTTAGTTGAGACTGTGGTGGAAGGAAATGATATTGGAGTTGTTCCTTATAAAATTCGTGTTTCTGAGGATGGTGAACTATATGCTGTTGATGAAGTTAATAGCAACATTGTTAAAATTACTCCACCCTTGTCCCAATGTGCGTTTTCTCCTTCCCCTTCCTTTCTTTTTTTTTTTTTTTTTTTTTTTTTTTTTTTTTTTTTCTTCCCCTTCCTTTCTTTTTTTTTTTTTTTATTGTTTTTTATTTTTTTTTATTTTTTTTATTTTTATGATTTTAGGCATGTTTGAATGGTTAGAAAATGGTTAATATCTGTTATCATAGTTCGTTAATTTGTTAGCTTCTGGTGCCACAATGCAGTATTTAGTTTATTCAACTAAATTGTTTTCTCAGAATGTAACACCTAGTTGATATAAGTATAATTCAGCTCTTGGTGTGAGCAGAACATTTTCTGGGTCAATTTGTGCTCCTGTTTCTAGATACAATATTTTTTGTCCGTATTGTACGCTTCATGGTCAATCCAGTTTAGAACTAGTAGCCAGGTATTAGCCCATTTTCCTTACGAATTGAAAATACAGGAAATTTTATTAATAAAAAGCCCTATACTGCAACTAAAATAACTGATACTCTAGATTCAAAATATCAACATGAAGTTTGCTTCTAGAACTACTGATACCTATTCTCCATAGCTCCAAAGTGGGGAAATGCACATGTATGTTGGCCTTTGTTGACTTGATGAGAAAAGGGGAATTGTCAAATTTGTGAATGAATTACATTGGATATAATTTTTGAAGTTAATGGTTTTCTTTTTGGGGATCATTCATATGATTTCTTTATTATTTATGCAGACAGTAGGGCAAGATTGGTAGCTGGCTCATTTCAAGGTTATACAGGGCATGTGGATGGAAAGTCAAATGAAGCTCGTTTTAATCATCCCAGAGGTGTAACCATGGATGATAAAGGGAATGTTTATGTTGCTGATACCTTGAATCTTGCTATCAGAAAGATTGGAGATGCTGGTCAGTGCAGTTTTTTTTTTTTTTCAGACCCTCGGCTGTGAATTCCATTTTGTTCAATGTTTGTTTTGCTGATCAATCCCGTTTTCCCCAGAAAGGATAATGCAGTTGAACTGCATTTTGAACATGTACTTCCATGTAGACGTCTAAACAATTTTGAGAATTTAGAATCTAGTTATTTATATATAGATGATGGAACATCTTTGAAGTTAAAAATCTTGACTATTTAAACAATACAAAGACATTGAGTGTGAAATTGTTTGCAGGAGTCACAACCATTGCTGGTGGAAAATCAAACGTTGCAGGCTACAGGGATGGACCCAGTGAGGATGCAAAGTTCTCATCCGATTTTGATGTGGTATATGTTCATTCCACATGCTCCCTGTTAGTTGTTGATAGAGGAAATGCTGCTCTTCGACAAATCTCTCTCAACCAAGAAGATTGTGATTATGAGTCCAGCTCGATTACTTTCACAGGTTTGGTCACATTTCATTTGACTAGTGTGATTTTGGAACAAAGTACTTGTACTGTATTTAGAACTGAGCCTTACTCATATTTTAATGCTCTATTGAACATGGTGCATCCTTTATTTTCATACAATTTTCATTCCTATGTGATTCCACATCATATGTGCTGCATTATGAAGGACATCACTGTAGGTGAGATGTTCCAGAAATTATGTTCCTAACTTATTGTTTCCACATTATTGTATTCCTTAAGAAACTAAATCTGGAAGCAAATTTCATTCCAGCTGAATGTGACCTTATCCAACATTTGGTTTTTTGGTGTGGTTGAGATGCATATCCTGAGTGTACTTTCTCTTAAAAGGAAAAACAGAAAAGAAAAAGTGGTTTTTTTATTCTTGTCATAGTTATGTTGCTCTGACATCAAAGAAATGAAAAAACACTATCATCACTGAGTCTCTTGGCAGATCTCCTTCTGGTTGTTGGTGCTGCCGTGGCTGGATATGTTGCGTGCATCCTTCAGCAAGGATTTGGGCCTTCATACTTCTCAAGAACAGTACAATTCTAACTTTCTAATTTTATTTATGATTTTATTATATAGAAACTGGAAATATAACTGCTTACCACTATGCCAAGTGCCTTATCAACGTATAACACGCTTTTCTCTTTTTTTCAATGGCCAAATTTTGGCGAGGATTAGATTTGTCTGGATTTGGTCTATAGGCTAACCGCTTACCCATGGACCAAACCAATGAAAATAAATGTTTTTTTTTTAAATATTGTTCTCATTTTATCCTTTTTTTTAAATAGTCAGAAATACCTTTGTTCCCTCAAAAACTCATTTTTTGGTTTGTTCCATAAGTGGGCTAACCGCTTACTCATTTTTTGGTTTGTTCCATAAGTGGGCTAACCGCTTACCCATAGACCCGATCTAGGCAAGTCAATCCCTTTTGGCAAAACATGTAATTAACACCACCCTCCAAACAGGCAGCATTTTCAGGTAAAAGTTGCTTTTGAAATATCCAAATTGACTCCAATTTGGCAGTTTCATAGATGAGCTATTTTTCTTTTCTTTTTTTTTTTTTTTTGGCCCAACATTCGACTCCAATTTGCGCAGTTTCACCTAGATCGCAGACCCCCTATTTTTCTTTTTCTCTTTTCTTTTTTTTTTCGGCCAGTGATCTGACTTTTTTTTTTTCTTAAATAAGAATTGGTCTCTCTTTTTTTTTTTTTTTTTTTTTTTTTTGGCAGTGACTCTGATTTTTTTTTTCTTACAATAAGATTGGTCTTCAACAGCGCATCATTGCTTGTTTCTCACTTTTATTAATTTTAGGTTGATCTGATGCTTTTTTGGTTGATTAATGGATTTTTCCTCATGCATTTTGCTTAATGATGCTGCCTATATAAATGCAGCAAGAATATTCGGAGAGTGAATTCAAAGAGCACCAAAGTATGGAGAAATCAACTCATACTGCAGAAAGCATGAAAGAGGAACCCAAGTGGCCATCTTTTGGACAGCTCATGATTGATTTGTCTAAGCTTGCACTTGAGGCATTGGGTGGTGTTCTCCTCTACTTCATCCCTTCATGGTTCAGATCAAGCGGACCCAAGAAGGGCCTCACACCATTAAAAGATTCCCTAAAGATGCCGGAAGATGAAGTTGAGCACCCAACAGTCCAGAGGCAGAGTGTGCCTGTTCCTTTATCTGAAACACGGCAGATCCATACTCCCATCACTAGTGAAAAGTATGCAGAAATGAAGCCACCAAAGATAAAGTCATCCAGTTTTAAGGATCCTTCTTTATCAAGCAAACGCCGATCCTCAAAACAACAAGAATATGCAGAATTCTATGGGTCAGGTGAGGCGGTGCCTTCTTCTGGTAGGTCTAAGAGCCACAAAGAGAAATCAAGGCATCGGCAACGAGATAAGAGTCGAGAGAGAGTTTTTGGTGCTGTTGGGACAGAGCCAAAACCTGTTGAAATGAAGCCTATGGATTATGATAATCCAAAATTTGACCATTACAACATGAGAAGCAAGTATGAATCTGAAAATTCATACCAATTTTGATCTGTTGCTACTCTTAGCTGTTGACCCATGTCTATTTTCCTTTTATTTTTGTATCATTGTGTTTCTTATTCAGTTAATGAACTTAAACGTGATTTATCTGTTGGATATATAGGAAAAATGGTAGCTTAGGACAACATTTCTAGGCCTTGTTTGGTATGGATGAATTCCATAGAATTTTGTGTAATTCATTTGAAATTTATGTTTGGCACAAATGAAAAATTTTCATGTTAATGTCTAAGAAAGGTCTAACACTAAAATGGTTTCCAAACGGTTGATGATAATGTTTTTGAATTCTTCGTCTAAATACTCAGTAAAAACAGAAGGCAAATTTCCTTTTTTCACAATTTACTTACGGTTATTAGATTTTTGTTTATTGGGATAATGTTATTTTTGATGTCTGAATTTACGTTTTTTTCTTTATTTATTTTGATAATTGAGTGTATAATTATTTCTGTACTTATAATTATTTTTAATTTGGTGTATCCTGCACTTCCTGCTTATAATTTAAGTGAACAGCGGGAATATATATTAGGACAAAGTGGGGCCTACTTTTGCCCACGTGTCCGCACTTCCTCATTCTCTTACTCTTTCTTCAACTTCTCTGACTTCTAAAACTCCAGCCTTTTTCTCCGTTACTTCCTGCTAGTCTCCAATTTCTCTTTATTTTAGCTCCTCAATCTTTACATCATTTTCCATCAAAATCATCTTTTGTTCAAAAATCTCAGAATTCACTTCGTCGCCTTTACTCATTGCTGAAATCAAGTCGTGTTGGAGACTAGAGACCTCTCTCGAGAGCTGTGTAGCTCTGTAAGCAATGGATTCCAATGCTTTCTTATTTTCCTTCGATTGTTCTATCTCTCCCTCCATCACTCCGAAGCTCAACTTCAACTGTGACTCCTCGGTTGCAGAATCAGATCTCTGAGCTTTTCATTCTCGTTGGCCATGGACTCCTCTAAGACTTTGATCTTTTCATTCATCTTGATTCTGTTTTCGCGTTCATCAACATCGTAGAAGCTCTCTACAGTCTGTTCATGGTTCTCCGATGCGATGCCGTTAGCTATTGTATTCTCATCCACCATTGTTTAAGCCCCAAAACAGCAGAAGCCTAATTAATGAAAATAAAACAGGGGAATTAAAATGAATTATAGAATAAGAAAATGGAAGGTTCGTGAAGTTCTAAAACTATAGAATTTTTACTGTGGTGTTTTCTCGGTAACCAAACGAAGGCAGTAGGTTTTACCATTGAAGAACAAGTTGGTGTGGTGTTTTCTCAGTAACCAAACAAAGGCAGTAGGTTTTACCATTGAAGAGCAAATTGTGCAGACAAAATGTTTGAAGAGAATTGTCACGTTGGACTGATTACTTGTATTAATCATGGCATGTAAGCGGACATGTGGCAAAAGTGGATCCCATTTTATCCTATTATTTATTCCGACGTTACACTTTATCAGAAAATACTAAATTGAAAAAAAAAGGTACAAATTCAAACACTCAAATCTCACTATTTCGGTTCAGACACAAAATAGAGAAGAACTAAGCTTCAAACACCAAAAGTATCCATATCCCTTGTTTATTTGATTTTTTTTTTCGATTACTTGTATTAATCATGGCCCATCGCCTCAGGGCACATGTGGCAAAAGTGCCGATCCCATTATTACTCCTATTCATTTATTCCGACGTTACACCTTTTCGCAACCCCTCATTATCCACCAAAAATACTAAATTTGCTAAACATAGAAAAGGTGTGAAAATAATTCCAAACACTCCAAATCTCACACAACTAATTTTCGGTTGTCAGAACAAAATAGAGAACAGATATAGATATACAACACCACCAAAGCTCTCCACTATAAAACATTAGTTCTTAATTGTGCTTCTGCTATTTTCATTTATTACTCTTCATGTTCTTTCATGTAAGTATCTTCTTTGTCAGTTCACAAACATATTACACATATAAAAAAATTTACTACTATTCTCTAACATTTCACTTTGCTCTTAATCATACTTTCTTCTTTTTTCCACGAAACTTCGATTATGTTTGTTTAATTGTTTAACACCTTTTTCTGCTCCGGAATTATATTTTTTCTTTGATTTTTTGGTGACAATTTCTTAGGCCCTAGACAGGATGAAAGAGGAAATACACAGAAATAAACTTATTGGAAATACATAATCCACGCCTCACGATATACTAAAATTACAATCATTTTATATTTATACCAATATCATAAAAGTGGGAATGACGGGAAAATACATACGTGATATGATCGCACATTCATACTCTCCTTCGTGAAATTTTCAAATATCCAACATAACTTCTCCAGTTTTAACCAATAAAACACGATTTTACTTAAAAGCTAGACAAATCACCATATTTTTCCTACTAATCTTTTGACTAGGTTGTTTCTTTGCCCCTCTTTTCCTTAATAGATATGCACTTATACTATAATAACTATATTCAAGCTCACTTTTTTCAAAATTCTCTTAAATTTTTTTCTAAATTATAATTTAATCTTCATTATTGTCTAATTCCTATCACCTTTTATTTCATTTAATATCTACCGTTATGTAAACTCATCAAATATACTTTAATAATTTTCATGATTATCACACTTCATTATACATTAACATTTTACTTCCAATCAATTATCTAGCTCCCTTCAAAATAATAACTATGTAACTATCGAGACGCATATTGACAAACTTATATACAATTTCTTATTTTTTGAATTTAATTTTAAATAAATGTTATCCTCAGCATGATCCTCAACCCTCTTAGCACTTTAAAAAAGATCATGGTTCACACACCCCCTAATCTACACAATATTACTATTAACAAAACTTCTAACACAGCTCCATCAAAATTAATATGCCATACTTCGGCAACAACAAAATAAGATAAAACAATTATTATTTTGAAACATCCTCAAATTTGATTAATTATATTGATATATATATCTTATTCCCTATCTTCTTTATTAAACTCAATATATTCCTTATCCTATCCAATCTCTTTAAATGCTTTCATCATTTCTAATCTTCGCGTAAAACCATAACTATAACTAATAAACATTTATTCTTATAAACTATTTAATTCTGCAGTTACCTTGATCAGTTTATTCTCTATTCTATTATTACGTTAACAAATTTCACTTCTACTACATCGCAGATCATAGCTCGAAAGTTACTTAACCACACCTCCAACATGTCCGTGAACAGCTTATTCTAACCAAAACTATTGCCTAAATCATTGTAAAACTCATAATCATCCAGCTCATACTGCAACTCTATCTCTTCTATAAATCAATTTCGGTCTTCTTCAATTAAAAAAAGCAATACATTCGAAAGCCAGACTCACGTATAATCAAAAACTGTATACAATCACCCAAACCGATGACCAATACTCACTCCAAACAAAATTGTCTCCTTGTCATCTATAAAGTGTAATATATTTTAATCAACTTAATCCTAAATAAAAATTTCAATACTTTTCATATTACTATAATAAAAAATTAAACACAAGTATAAACACACTGCAGCATATAATCAACATAATTCACCTGCAACGTCCCACATCCATACAAAAACAAATGCAAGTAATCCATACTCACAACATCGAGTCGGTCTACACTTAAAATAAATAGTCAAAATGTTAAATTTCTCAAATTACTCAAATCCATACAGCCAAGCGTAAAATTTCATCTTACACACTAATTATACCAGAAATCGAACATCATTTTCATATTTTCAAAATAATTTCCAAATAATGTATTCATCCGTAGTAACCATCGGGCTTAACCTACACAACACAAAACCCACGCACTTTTTGCAGTCCATAGAATCATCCTAAACTGAGTTCCGTCGCCTCGGCACTTCAAATTCGGAAAAAACTTTGTCATCTACTATATATTTATTGTATCTATAAAGTGTAATATATTTTAATCACTTAATCTAAATAAAAATTTATACTTTAATATTATATAAATAAAAAATTAAACAAGTATAAAAAGTGAGCATATAACAAACATAATTAACCTGCAACGCACATCATAAAAAAATGCAAGTAATATATAAAAATAGAGTGGTCTAACTTAAATAATAGTCAAATGTAAATTTCTCAAATTACTAAATATAAGAAGCGTATTTATTTAACATAATTATAAGAAAATCAATCATTTTATATTTTCAAATAATTTCAAATAATGTATTTATCGTATAAATGGGCTTAACCTACAAAAAAACCCAGACTTTGCATCATAGAATCACTCTAAACTGACGTTCGTCGCCTGGCACTTCAAATTGAAAAATTTGTATTATTATTACCTGAAATTCAAATTTTGCTAGAATTTTAAATAAAAAAATATTAAAGTGGATCCCATAGCACCACTGTTGGATCAGCTTAACCCAAGCCCAATGTGTCAAAACGACCATACTCACCGTTTTGCGCCCCCAATTTTTTTTCCCCCAAAATCCCTAATCCTAAAGCAACTCTCCCCGTCCATGATAGCCGTCCAGCTCGACGGCGACAACGCCACATCTCTCGTAGGCTCCTCTCTCTCACCGCCTTCTTCGCTTCCTCTTCTACAATCTCACTTTCTCCTGTTCCTTTCTGTTCGCTTGCTTCACTGGAACGTGTGTTCCATTTCCTAGCTTTTAGAGTGAAGTTCAGAATGGCTTTTGAGCCGCAAAACTTGAACGCTGCTTGATCGTAGGCTTTGGCGGCTTCGTCGAATGTGCCGAGCCACAATCGACGGCCTTTCCGATTCGGGTCTCGGATCTCCGCTGCGTATTTGCTCCACGGTCTCTGTCGGACTCCTCCGTAATGCCTTTTCTTTTCTACAGCAAAAGCACCCGAGTCAGCTTGGACCGGTTGCTGGTTCAGTTCAGCAAATTGGATGAGTATCTTGAAGTACGACTTTTAATTCGTCGTAGAAGTTGAACCAACCGGTGATATTTGAGGTTTTGATTCAAAATCATTGAAAACGTTATTTGATTGAGAAATACTTTGAGGTTTTTGATTCAAATCGGAAATTCTGAATGTGTTGTATTTGAGGTTTTGATTCGAATTCGAAGATTTCGTTACTTGATTGAGAGATTAGTTGAGGTTTTGCATCAAATTCAAAACTGGTTGACGAATCACAAGATCTTGGAGCAGTGAGATCGACGATTTGAGGTTGCGTAGGGGTTCTTTGGCATTCAAGAAGACAGTGATTGAAGATGAGATTGTTGAAAATGGTGAGT